GTTTTGGCGAGCTCGTTCTTCCAACGTCCTTTTTCTCTTCAAGGCGGGGCTGATCACTGTCCCCTATTAGTGAACACTCCCTCCCCAGGCGACCGGCAGCCAACCAAGACCCATGCCGAACCCCCCAAATCCCGATCGAAAACATTACAAAATACGCTTGCCTCCAAATCTGGAGCCTGCGCTCCCCGCGACAATTTTACATTGATTCTCAACCCTCCCGTGGTTGGGTTCTCATTTTGAATATAGTACCGTGGTCTCCATCCTCCCATTCTCCTCCCGCTCCTCCTCCGCCCCCTCCTGCTGCTACCCCTCCTCTCCTTGGCCCCCCCCTCTTTCCTGTTTAGTCGTCCTCTCCCTCGTCGAGACCTCGCGGGCCCTGCGGGGCTGTGAACCGCGCAACTGTCGCCATGTTCGTGGGCTCCTGGGAGGTCCAGCGGAGTGGAGGTCCACGCGAATCTGCTGAGATCTCGCGGCTCCCTGCGGGGCTGCGAACGGCGCAACTGTCGCCATTTCCGTGACCCCTGGGAGGTCCAGCGGAGTGGAGGTCCACGCGAATCTGCCGAGGCCTCGCGGCTCCCTGCGGGGCTGCGAACCGCGCAACTATCGCCATTTTCGTGGGCTCCTGGGAGGTCCCTGCGGGGCTGCGAACCGCGAAACTGTCGCCGTGTCCGTGGGCTCCCGGCAGGTCCAGCTTATGTGCACTGCGGGTCCTCCAACATGTGTGTTTATCTTGCGCGGTCCCAAACATTTTCGTCAAATGTGTAGAAAGGGTTGGGTACGTCACCAGGTAATGTTTGACAGGGACGGCGGGGGGCCAGGGGGGCTTTCATATTGCTTGGCGGGTGGCCGGGGGGCTTTCATATTGCTTGCTGCGCGCAGGCCAACCATCCCTGTCAGAAAACAAAACAAAGTACACTTGCCTCCAAATCTGGAGCATGCGCGGGCGCCCCGCGACCACGTTGCATTGGTTTTTGACAGGGGCATCCGGGTGCTACGTATGTGTTGGGAGGGTGGGTGGGAGTGAGCGAGATGGCCTGCGCCTTGTCAGCAGGAGGTGTCTTGACCCCCCCTCTATCCCCTGCCCTTGGTCTGGACGGGAGGTCGCGAGCTGTGAGGGGGACAATGTTTGCCCAAGATGGCTCCAAGAGGCCCTTTGATATTCCAAGATGGCCTCCAAGATGGCTCAAACAGCCCAAAATGGTCCAAGACGACCTAAAACATGCCACCAAGAGACCACAAGACCACCCCAAGACGGCTCCGAGTGGCCACGGAGCCTCCCATGGAGATCCCCGAGAGGCCGAAACCCTTCAGACTACCAAGAAACAAATCAATCATGCTTGCCTTCTCGCCGGTTCGCTTCCGATGCGCCTCTGAGACCTCAAGATGATCCCAACATCGCCTAAGAGAGCTCCAAGAGTGGTCAGGAAGCCCCAGAGCGCCCAACAAGCAAAATAGACGATGTACCGTGTTCAAGGGCAGCGCTAATCCACGCCGCCCTCTTTGTTTGTCGATGGCCTCCAGCTTCTTCCATGCAATCAAATGAAATCCACTCATCGCCAATCGGTGGCCTCCAGTGTGGCTCCAGGAGAACAGAGCACCCAAAGCACCAAGAATGCATCCCGAGAGCCAGAAGAGCGCCCCAAAAGATCCCAACAAGGTCACGAGAGACCTGTCGGCCCCTCTGCTTCAGCATATGCTTATCATAACCCCCGCAGATACGGATAGGAATGATGAACTGGTTTGGATTCGGTGCGGCGCGCTACGTGGGAGACGTCTCGACGCGACTGGTCGCCCGCAGAGCCCACAGAAAATAAAGACGAGCCCAAGAGACCCCCCCAAGAGGCCCCAAAACTGCCCCCAGGAGGCCCCGAGAGCGCTCCGACGAGACCCCAGGAAGCATCCCTGAGGACGCATACCCACAATCCAGGCACGGTGGCGGAATGGGCCGAAGGGCGTCCATGTATATATATATATATATATATATATGTACATATCTAGATATGTGTATAATTCATCGGTTATTGTGTACGTATGTGAGTGTGTGTTTGTTCCCCCTTTGCTCGCTGGCCAATTCGCTGAAACGGATTTCGCCGCCTCGCCGCTGACGGAAAAAGTGTATGCTTGTGAGTACATAAATCAAGAATATCTACATCAAGACATCTACAAACATATATGTGTAAATATGTGTGGATGCATGTATGTATGCATACATGCTGCTGTACATACAAACACACGCACCACATACACACACACAAACACGTACATGTAGACATGCATGCAAACAAACATACATACATACATACACACATACAAAACACCCACACACACACACACACACTCATAGACACACTACACATACAGCCATACGTACATACATACATACATGCATGCATGCATGCATGCATGCATGCACACATACAGCTAGACAGGCAGACCGGCAGACAAACAGGCATGCACACATATAGACATAAATACGTACATGCATGCACAAACTCATGCAGTCGTACATGTACGCATGCATACATGCACACATACATACACATACACATACACATTCACATGCACATGCGTACACACATACACATACATACACATATAAACAGACATGTTCACATATATATATATATATATATATATATATATATATATGTGTATACATATATACATGCAGTATACAGATGAACAGATGTACATATATATAAGATATAATATACATATGTATATATACATATGTATAGAACTACACATACAGATGCATACACATATGCATGAATTTACACATATGCATGTACACACATGCATGCGCACATGCATAAAATATAAGCATATGCAGTTACATAAGTATATGCATATACATATGTACATGCATAGATATATACATGCACACACCTGTGCATATTCACCTACACATACACATATATGTATATACACACATATGCCAATATATATATATATATATATATATATGTACATATATGCATATACATTCGTATATGCACAACCTAAACATACACAAATGCATACACGTATACATGTACATAGACATATGCATACATATATATAGCTACCGACACATCAAATTATGTATATACGTGGGCACATACACATACCTACACCTACACATACACATGTACACATATGCGCATGCATACACTGACTTACGTATATACATATATATATACTGTTATATGTATACGTATATGCATGCGCGAGTTGGTATTAACGCACAAGGCTTTGTGTGTATATATATATATATATGAGATCCGCCACTGTACCCTGAGGCACGAGTTTGCCCCAGTCCTCAATCCTGAGGACTCTTTATAAGGGCCCCAGACCCCGAATTCACAAATCTCCTAGGGCTCCCCACGTGCCAAGATGGGCCAAGACAGATCCAAGACGCCCAAGATCCACCCAAGACGGCCCAGAAGCCTTCGAGACGCCCCAAGAAGCCCCAAGAGCCTCCCAAGAGGTCAAAACCATTGACTTGCATTAAATAAGTAATTGTGTTTCGGTTCCTCCACCTGTCTGGCTTCCGGCGCTCCTAGAACCTTCCCACGACAGCCCCAAGACGCCCGTGGACCACCCCAAGACGGCCCAAGAGGCCCCCAAGAAGGCCCAGGACGGCCCAAAAGGGCCCCAAAACGGCCCGAGAGGCGCCCAAGACGGCTCAAGTGGGCCACAAGACGGCCCCAAAAGGGGCCCAAGAAGGGGAATACGAACCGACAATCCGAGCCTCTCACAGCAAGAGGCACTCAGGAGGCCCCAAGAGGACCTCAAGAGGCCCCGAAGAGGCCCGCAAGAGACCCCACGACGAGGCCCCAAGAGGCCCCAACACAACCGAAAAGAGGACCGGATGGGGCCCCCAACAAGGCCAAAAGAGCCGCAAAAGAGGCTCCGACACAGCCCCCCTGAGGCCTCCAACTGCCTCCAGGAGGCCTTCGAGAGGCCTCGACGAGATCCCAGCGACCATCCAAAGGGCCCAAGACCCACAACCCAGGCAGGGTAGCGGGATGGACCGATCGCCAGTACACAAACACACACACACACATTTGTGTGTATGCATCTGTGTATGTACATATGTGTCTGTGTATATATATAGGTATATATATATATATATAAAAAAATGTAGATCCACATATACATGCGCAAATCACTATACATCCACCCTTCCATATGCCTATATATACACGCATACATATACGTATGCACATGCATATACATATAGTCGCATACGTACATATATATATATATACATACATACATGTATTTATATATACATGAACATACACATAAAATTATGCATATACATATGCACATGCATCGACATATACATATACACATATACAATTATATGTACATGTACATGTACATATACATATGCATATACATGTACATATACATTACATACACATATACATATACATATATATACATATATACACATATACATATACATGTGTTTGTCCATATACGTATACACATTATTTTGCAAATGCATCGGTGTATGCAGATACATGTTCATGTATATATAGATGTGTGTATACATGTGCATATGCATGTACATGGTCATATGCATGTACGGAAACAGCTAAGCATACATGTACGTATACACATACGTATATACAAATATACCGATATATACACACGCATACACCAATACTTGTGCATCCATAGATACAGACGTACAACTACACACAAATATACATATACCTACATATATATATACATACATATATATACATGTATGCGCACATGGATAATTATTCTCTCCAAAGAGCTCGAACCGAAACGATATCGGCCCGTCCAACATGTCTCTCGGGAGGCTGCAAATCTAGCCAGCCCTTCCGGCCTTCCGCGTTCCTGCCGCGTGGGAGGCCGCCGACTCTCACGGCCGGCACAAAGTCAGCGGAGCGCGGCGATCCACCACTCCTTAGAATCAAAAGCGTGCGGCCAAACGCCGCCGCCAGCTCAAGCGCTCTGAGGGGCGTCTTACTCATCACTCATCCATCCAGCGCTGCCCGCAGGGCCAGTCGGCCCCGACCTGCACTCGCCACGAACCCCATCATCGCCAGGAGCTTCTTAATCAGGGGCCCGTCCAGGTGCTTCGTACCGATGTCACTGATGTTCTCGAGACCTGCTATCTTGGTGACACGCAGCTTTTTCTGCTGCACAGCCCTCTGCAGCCACAGCAGAGGTGTATGAAGGTGTCGAACTCGTCCGACTCCACGACGTTCAGCGATGCCCTTGCCCGCCGACGCGTCGCACTTCAGCACGATCTCGAGATCTACACCCATGTCCTTTGCGAGAGTCTTGAGGCCGAGCCCGATACTGCCGCCGTTCACCAGCGCATGGAACTCCGCTTCTCCCGTAGATAGAGCATTGAACCCTTGGGTTGTCGAACTGTTTCTAATCCAATGCTTCCCAACCATCACCGTACACGATGAAGTAGACTTACGTGTCCTCATGCAGCCTGCGAAATCACTGTCCGCGTAGACCTGAGCAACTCGCCGATCTGCCTGCCGTGGATACTCAACCACCAGCCTCGGGGTACCTACGAGGTACCGTCCGATCCGTTTCATGGCCTGCCACCCGCCAATCGTCGGGTCCTGCATCACTCGTGCTGATTCCTTCGCCGCGCACTGTAGATCAGGTCGATCCTGCGCCAGGTATTGAATACGCATGCACAATGAGCGGTAGATGACCCGCTCTCGTCCTTGCAGTGCTTCTCCATCCAGCTCCTGCCTCTTGATCCCCGGCGTGACCACTGGCTTGCTCTCTTTACCCTGCAGGCCCAGTTGGGCCAGGATGATCTCCACGTGCCTCGGGCCCGCCTCGTACTCGATCTTCTCCACGTCGTTGCCGTTCGGCCTGGCCCACCTCACGATGCGACTCAGCACCGCGATCTCGTCGATGTCGCCGCTCTGCGGGCCAGGCCCCAGAACTCCTCGTACTTTCACGATCAGGTGCTCGCCGAGGTTCTCCGTAAAAGCCTTTGAATCCTTTCGCCCACCGAGCACCACGAAATCGTCACCGCGCCTCCAAACGACCAGCTTGCCAACCTGGTAGATGGAAGGCGAGAACTCGCCCTGCTTCGACTTCAGCATCCTCATCATGACGTCCTCCACCGTCAGGTCGAAGGACGAGCCGGCATCTCTCAGCCCATACATGGCCTTCAGCAGCAGCCAGCACTCGTCGTCCTTGCACTCTAGATCCTCCGCTGGCGCCTTCAAGTACACTGGCCTCTGCAGCTCCGAGTGCAGATGCGCTCTTGAGATATCGATGAAGGTCAGCACTCGATCTTCATGCCGCCCTGTCATCGCCATAGACAGAATCATCCTCAGGCCCTCCAGCGGCGGGGTCGCCGCGAAGGTCGCCGCAGCGTCCTCAGGCCCAAGGGCGCTCAGCTTCCGCGTCTCTTTCGCCACCAACCGACTCCGCAGTTCTGGTTTATGGTCGTCTCCCTTGTTGGTGTCGACCCAGCCGCTTGGAAGCGGCTTGGCCCCCGTCACTTGCAGCGCCTCGGAAATCCTTCTCCTCTCAAACACTCCGAGCCTGCTCATGTAGCCCACCTCGTCCATGCGTGCGTTCTTGACGCCTATCGGGTCCAGCACCGCACCGCTGATCCCGTCGTAGAAGGTCGCCATCTCCTCCTCGGTCGCCTGGTCCAGGATGTCTGGCTCCTCCGCGGTCTGGCCAACCTCGAACGCATGGACCCCTTTACCGATCTTCAACTCGTTCCTGATGCCCTTCAGGATTGCCTTCACCAGCCCTAAGGGGTACCTCTCAGCGGCCTTTGCCCTTCTCTCCAGGAGGTGCACATGCTCGTGGGAGCCGTCACACACGATCCCCACCTGCTTCGCCACCTCGCGGCTATTCGTCATCCAGCCCGTCGGCTTCGCCACGATGCCCTCCGAGCCGTCCGGCCAGTATGACTTGGCTCCGAACACACACAATGGCTGCCCTTGACCACTATGACGCCGGGCAGCTCCCTGATGCTCTTGGTGCACTCCTCTTTCCAGCTTGACGCCGTCCAAGGGTGCTCGAACAGGAACCACTTCCCCCTCGAATGCTGGTAGGCCGCCAGCTCCATACAGAAGCCCAGGAAGACCTTGCACTCCGCGAGCAGCCTCTGAAACTTGACCTCGTCGCGCTTGCCGCTCGCCTTCAGCAACTCCATCAGCTGTGAGAACGGGGTGCATACAGGAGACATGATGAGGAAGGCAAGGTCTCCCTCCTCAATCTCCGCTCTCGCTCGCTTCCGCTGCTCCTCGAGCCGGAAGTCCCTTCCCGTGCTGAGATCCATCGCTACTCCTGGCTTCAGGTTGAACTTTGGAGCTCCCTTGGCGAACTCCCCTGGGTTGAACGCCTCCTGCAAATCCAAGCTGTCGAGACCAAGCTGTTCCAGCAGCGCACCAATCTCCGCCGCGTCGCCCATGGCCACGTCCGCCGCCGCCGGAACGCTTCCCGACGCTGTCCCAGATGAGCTTGGCGCCCCTGGTTCCCCGACTGGTCCACGATCACCGGCTCGTCCTCGCTTGGCCCCAGGTTATTCGTCTTCACTTCTGTCGGGTCGCTCACCAGCTACTCGCCGTAGGTGAGCCTCTGCCACCCGAGCTCCACCGCCGAACGTCTGGTCGTCCTCCATCGCTTTCTCGATCCTCGTTCGGCATTCCTCGTTGTGCATGATCGCGCGCTGGTTTTCCCGAGCTGCACCCGTAGCGCCACAGCTCCACGCCCTTCCTGATGCAGACCCTCCTCGGAGCAGGAGGACCCACAGGTCCCGGAACAGGGGGCAGATCCACGTCCGGCACCACCTGATCCGCCACCACCTTCGCCATGGCAGGTGGCACTTCGAGTCCTTCACCTTCTTGGCCAGGAACAGGTCGCCACGGCACGCCCTGCAGCTCTGAGAAAAGAGCCTTGTCACTCCTCGCTGCCAATGGCATCCTCTTGACGCTCCTGGCTCTCATCACGCCCTTCGGCGTCGCCACGTACACCTCGTCGCTGTCGTCGCGGATCCCGTAGAAGACGCCCTCCAGCCACCTGTCCACCAGCCTCGACTTCCTCTTGCCGACTGGCAGGTAGAACACCTTCTCACCGAATGCCGGGAGCGCCCTCTTGCAAGCGCGCCCCTTCCTCAACTCGTACGGCGCGCGCCCGTCCGAGTTCACTTGACCTCGATTGTGGACTGCTGCGCCGCGCCTCACCATCCACGGCAGGCACGGATGCTCCGGGCCGATCGTGAATCCGTGCATCTCCTCCACCGCGCGCCTGAGGGTCCTCGCCAGGCACTTCACATCCCTGACAGCCCCTTCAGCTAGACCGTTCGACTGTGACTCTCCAACCGCCGAGGTCTCCAGCAAGCACTCCACGCCGTGGTCCTTCTTGAGCCTCTTGACGGCCTCGCCCCTCAGGGCGACGATGCTCGGCGCGCTGTCGCACCTGAAGACCACCTTCTTGTAGCCGCCGTTGACCACGAACTTCACAAGCACGTCGGCGCTGTGCGCGTGCGCCGCCCCCTTGCAGGTCAACACCTCCGCGCCCGTGTACCTGCGCAGCGAGTCCCTCATGAACAAAATCGGGGCCGCGTCCTCGCCGCTGCCGAGGTAGCCGTAGTCAAACGCCACGACTGGCATCGCATCCTCCGCACGGCTCCTCGTCACATGATTTTCAGCTCGCCCTCGTCCTGCAACACAGTGCCTGCACCAAGCTCGACGCGGCGTGCGCGACACTTCATGGTCCTCTCACTCCTGCTGGGTCGGCTCGCGCGGTCTCCGCGCCGCTCTCACTGCCGGCCGCCCCCGAGCAACCACCGGGGCAGGTGGTGGAGGCACCGCTTCTGGTTGAACAAGTTCTTGGACTGGTTCTGCTGCTGCTGCCGCCGCAGCTGCCTGACTCGATCCAGCTCCATCACCTGCGTCATCGCTCCTCACCATGCAGATCTCCTTCAGCTTCTTGCCGCTCGCGCTGGGCTTGGACCAGGCCTCCGCGCGGCCGATCACGTCCTTCGCCTTGCTATACGGCATCAGCTCCATCTCCATCTCGCACACGTCGTTGCGCCTCTGGAACGGTGTAATCACCCCTGTCGAATTGTTCTCCGCGTAGCTGCCGCCAGCATCAAAGACGACCCGATGGCCTGCGTCGACCATCTCCGAGACAGAGGCGAGTGCCTTGCTGACCTTCGCGACCCTAGCCTTGATGCCTCTCACCTGCGCCGAGCCGTCCGCGTTGCGCACCGACCCGATGAGCTCCTTAGCGCCCTCGTCGGCCACCCAACCGCCGTTCGCGGTCCTGTAGCCTTCGCCCTTCGCACTCATGTCATTCTCGCACGTCGGGTAGTCCGGAGCCAGCTCCGATGGCACGACCGTCGTAGCTGCACACGAGTCCACACCGAGCACCATCTTGCGGGATGCCCGCGCCGCGTCCGCACCGAGCCTGCTCAGCTCGTGCACCAGCTTGTCGTCCACCAGGCCGCCCTCGATCAGCAGGTCGAAGGCCTTCTGCGCCACGCCCTTCTCGTCGATCGTGAACGGCGCGAGCCACAGCCCGCGCAGCGCCTTCTCGGGTTCCGGCTCCATCATGCGCAGGTTGTTCTTCTTCTTCGGGCAGTCCTTGGACATGTGCCCGTGCTCCCGGCAGTTGAAGCACTTCGGCCCCTTGCCGGCCTTGCCGCCCTTTGCCTCCCCGCCCTTCGAGGACCCCTTCGACTTGGAGTCGCCTCTCGACTTGCCCTTGCTGTCCGACTTGCCTTTGCCTGCTCCGGCCCCGCCCTTGCGGTGCCAGCACTTCCTCTCGTCGTGGCCCTTGCCGTTGCAGATCCTGCAGCGCCCTTTCCCACCCTGGTTGTTGAACGCTGAGAGATCCATCGGGGCCACCGCGTTCTGCGCTGCCGCCGCTGCGGCCTGGGCTCGTCGGACGTTCAGGATCTCTTCCCTGAAATTGGGCCACTCCTTGAGTCTCTCCGCATTCATGATCATGTGCTGCCTCAGCGGGGACTCGGGCAACTGCCTCAGCACTATGCCAACCTTGATCGCGTCTGAGAGGGTCTCCTCCGACGCCGACTCATACAGGCTGATCTCCCTCTTGAAGGCTTCCAGGCGCGTCATCATCTCGCCACTGAAGTCCCAGGCGAGCAGCGTCATCAACTGTCCAGCGTACCTGCTCGCCGCCTGTGGCTCGAATCGAAGGTGCAATTGTCGCCAGGCTTCGAATCCCTCGAGCTTGCCCGCATTCCGCACTACATCGAGCGCCTGGCTCCTGCACGTCTGGATGAGCCAGTGCCCCAACGTCCTGGACAACTGCATGTCCCCGGGCTCGAGGTTCGCCATCAGCACTGGTTCTGCCACGCGCTTGGCTCTGGCCATCGCCGCCGCCATGTTTGGGTTCGTCGCACCTGCGAACGCCTCGAACACAACCGACCAGTCTCTCCATGGCGGCTTGGCCCCATCGAACATCTCTGGTTTGCCGATCATCTTCACCTCCGCGGCCATCCTCTCTGGTCCAGGGTCTGGCACTTGCGCCGCCGCTGCGGCTGCACCCTGCTGCCCGAGCACCTGCTGTGCCCGCTGCGCAGCCTCCTGCGCCGCCCTACTCGCGGCGTCCGCGTCCGCTCGTGCTTGCCGTAGCTCTCCCTGCACTTGCTCGAGAGCCTGTCGAAGCGCCTGGACGTCCTGGACTGTTGCTGCCATCTTGACCCCGTCTCTTGATCGCACACAGATGCTGTCCGAGGTGTGCCCAACAGCGCCTCTTGAAGGCCAGCCTCACCAACCGCGTTGCCAGCGAGACCCACACCTGGGCAGTGCCCTTCCCCGACAACACCTCGAAATCGCCCTCGCACTCGTCTGGATCCGCGAGGCTGGTCGCCTCCAGCGCCTGGGCCCTGGCCTGCGCTGAGGAGCCCTCCGCGGGCCTGGCCCGCCGCGGCTCTATCGCAGGCTGCCGCTCTCGGCGCTGGGGGCGCATCCGCTCACGCTACCATGGATAATTAATTATTCTCCCCGAAGCGCTCGAACCCAAACGATATCGGCCCGTCCAACATGTCTCTCGGGAGGCTGCAAATCTATCCAGTACATATACATACAGACGCACGCATCCGCACATACATTTCCGTGTATATATATATATACATATATATATACACATACATATACATACACATACACATATACATATACATACACATGCACGTACACACATGCAAGTGCAAATACCTTTAAGTATACGAGCGTACAAATGTTACAAAAACAGATCACGTATAGATAGCGATATGAATATGCATACACATGCACAGGCACGTAACCATACACAGGTATATATACATGATAGCGGAGCAAAAAACAATCATAATCGTTTTAGGGCTGTAGGGCTATAGGGCTACAGGGCTATATGGGCTCTTGGGCGCTATATGGGCTATTGGGCTATATGGCTATATGGGCAACAGGGCTATAGGGCGATTGGGCTATAGGGCTGTAGGGCTATAGGGCACCCCCGGGCACCCGGGCACCCCCGGGCACGCCCGGGCACGCGGGCATCCGGGCACCCGGGCACCCGGGCACCCCCGGGCACCCGGGCACCCCCGGGCACCCGGGCACCCCCGGGCACCCGGGCACCTGGGCGTGCAGCGAAAATCGGCGGCAAACCGAACCTACCCATATGAATCCGCTAGGACCCCTACAGAGGCAAGCTCTGATTAGGGAATATGCCGATACCGATACAGAGACATTGACAGGCACATTGACAGATATATATATATATATATATATACTAGAACCACGCGCGCGCTTCGCGCGCGCTTAGGTTCTAGCCGCGCCCATGGGACTCGCATCAGAAGTAGCGAATGTCCCAGTCAGAGATGCAAGGGCCAAGTGTGCCACAAGTTATTGATTGATGCCCACTCCACACTTACAATTCATCACGCTTCTTCCAATCAGTATACAGGTATGCATATGAGGGCACGCACGTGCATATGTGTAGGGTGGCATTGGGCGAGAACGGCCGTCACGCATTTGGCTTTTTCTTCTCCTCCTCGCGGCGACCGCCAGGAGCGCCACAGATGCCGCTAGGGACCAACTGTCCCCTTCACGCACGGCGGCCCCCCGCCCGGGTCGCCCGGGTGGGCCCCGGCCCCCACGGGCACCCCCCATCGAGCTCGAAGGCGCGCGCCAGCGCCCAGCTGCCCAGCGCGCGCAGCGCCTCGCAGTTTGGCACGGGGCCAGGCCAAGGGTGCAAACGGTGCATTTGGGGCAGGACGCATGGGAAGGCGCACGCATGAGTTGTTGGGAACAGCGAGGCGTGGTGCAGGACATGGGGCTGGATACGGCAGGAGAGTCATCGGCAGTTGAACTGGGCGGTTGCGATGCTCCAGGCCCGGGCTGAGCATGGCACGCGCTGCATAAGTCCGGTGTTTGCTCAGAACCACGGCGACGAAAACACCGGGAACATGGGCGTGCGCGTCGCGGGCAGTCGGGGCACAAGTGCTGGCCCTCCCCGCGGTTTACCAAATTGGGGCATCCAGTTGCCGAGCATGTTTTGGGATTGGCGGGGTCATGGAGGCACCTGCGGGCAGCCATAGACGCGCAGGAGGGATGCGTTTGGCCAAGGCTCTTTTTCGCGGCAGCTGTGCAAAGGATGAAGGATGAACAGCCGAGGGACGCAAATCGGCATGGGAGATGACCAGCGGAGCACGCGTGGCATTTTTCTGCAGTTCGTTTCATGGACAGTTCGTGGCAGCCGAGTCTGCGCTTCGAACATCTCGCCCAGTCTCTGTGCACGTCGTGGCAGGGGTCGGCGCAGTGGAAAGTGCAAAACTTCGGCACCGCGGATTTATCGAAGGGAGGCGCGGCCGGCGAAGTGCATCGGTCATGCTCGCAGAGGTGACGGGCAGTGCAGGAGGAGCAGAATGGCAGTCGGCCTCTGGTGGATGTGCTTGACTTCTTCGGTCGAGATTTGAGGTGGCTGCAAGTGGGGAAATTCACGCAGGCATCCCGGGGACGAGTGGAGACCTCCGGCATGGACACAATGAACTCTCAGGCGGAGTCAACGCGCCTGAAGCGGCGCTCGTCCTCATCATCATATTCCTCCTCCTCATCCGCCTCCTCCTGTTGCAAAAGCAACCAATCGAAGAGCATCTGAATGTCAAATGCACGAAGAATGAACGAACAGTCCACGACGACGACGAGGACGACGACTAAGACAGCAAATACAGCCGGCGTCCATGCGAGAGCGCCCGGACCACATTCCAGAGATCATCAATCATTAGTCTCTAGAAGTGAGCATTCGATCACGAAGACGACGACGGCGGCGGCGGTGGACGGCCATGCTGCCTTTGCGGCACGTGGGCTGCGGCGCCGCAGCGGCTGGGCCGCCGCACGAGCGGAGACGGCCGCCGCGAATCGCGGGTAGCGGCCAGCGCTCGCCGCGGTGCTCGCACAGGGCCCGGGGGGCCGCCGCGACCAGGCTCACAAAGGAAGTGGCCGCAGCACGACACGGAGGGAACGGTCACCGGTGACGGGGGCAGCAGGGGAAGCCAGGCGACAGAGGCGGAGGAGGGACAGGCAGGAGAGAGGGAAGCGAACGAGGAAGGCAGCAAGGAAGGAGCGGTGGGAGACGCATCGTCCCCCGATGTCGTCGATTGGAC